TCCACTCATTGCTTGACACTGACAAATGACTGTTAAATACTAGTTCTTCCCTTAAGAAAACTCTCTAAAAATAATTTTCATATCACTTAATTCTCTGTGAAGTAGTAATTATCTTTCTATGAAGGAACCAACTATTCAGTTGATAATAAATACACTTTTTTGAAAAAAAGAAAGCACCAATAACTTGTTTGTTGATTGCTAGTGAACTTTACTTAATTAGAAGATAGAAGTCACTTAACGATGTTAAAAAATTTAGGAGCAGAGGACATGAAGGAATGTTCCCGCTTGCAGTAATGAAAACAAAGGGACACTAGTAAATTGCCCCCTCCTTGAGACTAAGTTGGGGCACCCTATTGTTATAATGCACCTGGAAAAAGGTGTCACTTTGGCAGAGTATCATAAGCTGCATGCCTGAAACGCCATGGAGTTCTCTTGAGCAGGTATAGTTGGCTGAAAAGGAGGGTAGGGGTAAGCACTCACGTCATGTTGCTACAATATGTGAAGCAGCTAAATTAAAAGCAAATGGTAAATAAACAGTTTTGAAAGCTGAAAGTCCACATGGATTGGCTTGCTGGCGACACTGGGCTGCATCAATTCATGGTGCAGAGAGCAGTGGCAGCAATGCATGTCAGGAACAAGCTAGTAATTACATCTCCAATTAGGAGCAGAGACTGAGAGAGGGCCTGGGCTCCCATGATCCCCTTCCAGGGTACACTTCCAGTGACGTAAGGACTTTCCTCTAGGCCCCACCTCCCAAAGATCCACAGCACCTCCCAGAACCACTACCCCGGAGACCAAGCATTTTCACAAGGGCCAAATAGGGTAATACAAGCATGAGTGTGCCTGTCTATGGGCACACACAAATAAAGAGTGTTGAAATTGAGCATATTCCAGCAAACCATCTGAGGGGATGATGGTCAGAGAGGAGCGCTATGTAATAAGGAATTCATTAACTAAACTCTTAGAAGTTTATCCATTGTAGCTGAAAATTGTATTTGGTAAATGAGAGAATTTAGCTGGGCGTGGTGGTGCATGCCTGTAATCCCAGCACTCCGGAAGGCTGAGGATTACTTCGAGAAGGCCAGCCTGGATTACACAGTGAGTTACGGACACCCTGAATTGCCTAGTGAGACCCTGTCTCAAAAACAAACAAACAAACAAAAAAGAACAAAAATAGAGAATTTATATAGTTCTGAAAATGGAAGATTTCTTTCCCTTTTCTCTAAATTACAGCTTGTGGGTACACTTTCCAGCACCTTCTCCACTTCCATGAGGGAAAATAACCCATCCAACACAGAAACACCAAACATGAGGTGTGAGAAGTCACTCAATTTAAACCCAGCCCTTTCGTTCATGGCTTCTTTTAGAAAAGTGCCTCCACACTTTCTCCATGTTATTTTAAATTCAGAATTAGAGTGGGTGGAAAGAATACAAAATGTGAAGATGTCCCAAAATACTAAATCTCCAGTTAATGTTTACCTGAAAATCCTGTTCATAATATCAGAGTGAAAGTGACTATGACAGATAGGGGATGTGGAGGACAGAATAAAATTTAGAGTGACTTTTTTTTTGTTTTAGAGTGACTTCTATGTCGTGTTCCTCCCTACAAGTTACTCTGTGCTTCTTGGCACAGGGATTCTTACAAGCAAAACAATAATGAAACCAACCCCAGCCATTTAGTAATGAAGCAGTGTTAACCACTGCCATTCCCTTCACCATGCTGCTGCCAATCTTTTGTTAACTATTTTAGTGTTGGGTTTTTTTTCTGACAAAGACTGTCTCATTGGACCAAATTTTAGTTATACTTCTCTGAGTCCTCTCCTTGAACTAGCCCTAGCTTTGGGATTCCCTCTCTGTTCTGGTAAAATCCAGTTTCAGCAAGAATCCTGTTAAGTCAATTTAGTGGCAATCCCCACTCTTGATATCTGATGACCCTGGCCTTCTTCAGTAATAATCCTGCCAAGTCAGTTCAAGTAAAAAGACTCTTATTCTTGATGTTTCCCCTTAGCAATCTTCCATCTTCTGACCCCTACCCCTACCTTAGTTATAAATCTGTTTGACTCTATTGGAGTTAAAGTCCAGTTTCTCTCCTCCACCATAAAACCCACTGTAGTGGTCCCTATATCAATTACTATGGCCTGTCCCCTTGAAGAAAGTTTGCCTTACCATCTTTAACAAGTGTCGTGAGTACTTTTTTTTTCGGTACCGGAAATTGAACTCAGGACCTTGCTCCTGTGAGGCAAGCACAGTGCCACTGAGCTAAATCCCTGGCCCTGTCATGAGTAATCTTTAATTTTTTCTTTAACCTGTGCATTAGTTGGTTTACTGAGTATGGAACATATGTCTACATGTTTTGCTACAAGTTTTTTGGAAGCTTGCTTTCTCTTTGCCCAACCGTACAATGCCATCATAATTACTAAATATAGGAGACAATTCCCAATCCTTTTTCAACGTTAACTTGGTAAACATGTCCATCTGTGGCTGCTAGTTCGCTCCCTGTCCTCTCATACTTTTTAAAATTGCTCTTTCTTGTGTTCTTTTTCTGCATCTTCTTCCTCTTATTGAAGTTATTTTTTTAGCTTCACCTGTAGATAAATATCTACTTTTTTCTGACTGATCTAATGTGCTCTCATGGCTTCTCCTGCCTTACAGAAACACCCCAAGGAGATGATCCTATTTATGGATCTTCACAGGATTCTGAGAAGCAGAGAGTGTGTTATTCTATGGGATACTGATAATATTTGCATTTATGTCTTTTGTCAATCCAGAGAGTTTCCTGAGGTCTACCCCCATCATTCTAACAGACACTTGTCACTGCCTTAGCTATATGTCCCTTAATCAGCTTATCCCAAACTATGTATGCTCCCTATAGTTCTTATTTGGTTAATGATACCAGTTATAAACACCATCCAGGCTAGAAACCTCAATTACCTACAGCTTCTCTCTCACCCCTACATCTAACTGATGACATAATCCTGCTAACCAGGTTTCTGAATATACCTGGCTTTTCACCTAATGCACTGTGGCCATTTACTTTGGACTTTCATCCCTTGCTTAGAATCTCATAATAGTTTTAGATTTGCCTCTTATCTCCAATCTATCCTTTACATTTCCATATCAATCGTCATACTACAGCAGCTGGTACCACTCTCAGTGGTAATGGAAATGCTCTATACCTACCTTTATCCAATATGGTAGCACTTACCCCCTGTGCCTATTGAGAGCTATAAATGTGGCTAGAGGGCCAAATAACTGAATTTTAAATATAAGTAAATTCAAACATATGTAGTCACTCAGATCTAGATGCCACCACAGTAGACAATATGTTCTAAGAGATGGATCTTTTAGTATCCTATCCTGTTGCTTTAAAAAAAGTTCAGTATTGGGCTGGGGATTTAGCTCAGTGGTTCCTCTGCCTGCCTGGAAAGCGGAAGGTCCCAAGTTCCATCCCCAGTACCAAATAAATAAATAAATAAATAAATAGTTCACCATCTGCATAATAAGTTTTAGAGTCTGTAGTACGACCCTAAAAGGCCTTCATACCCCATCCTCCCTTTCCTCTTCTACCACAATCACCTTTACCTCCCTTCCACATGTATTCTACTGCTGCACATGCTTGTCCTAAAGAAGCCATAATTTTAAGATCTCTTGGGTTTTGATCTTATTCTTTGCTCTGTAGAGTGCCCATCCCTCATGTCCTTCCTTTTAAAATGTTACCCAGTTTTCAGGGGCTGATTAAAAAGCCTTAACCCACTCTACCAGAGGGCCGTTCTCTTAGCCACCTTGGACAAGCCACTTAGCATGTCTTGCACAGTTTTCTTTTCTGAAACATGGGAATGGGAGCATTTCCTACCTTCTGGGTTGTTGGAAGATTAAATATTATATTTTTCAGGCACCACCACAGAAAAAGCACGCAATAAAAACAGTTGATATTACTGTCTCCCTGTAACACTGTCTCCGTTCAAGACTGTGACTTTTTTGGCAGCAAAGCCTCAGTCTTATTCGTTATTGCCCTCCGGTATTCGGCACTGCAGCCATCTGGGTGGCAGATAAATGAATGAGCCAATTACTTATGTAGGATGGCACAAAATAAAGTTTTTAAGTATGCCCTTTGTTGTGTATCTTTAGGGAGGAGGAAAAACAAAGACAAAGTTATAGTAGGGCCGAGGAACCAGGACACCAACCACTTTCCTTTTGAGTATTAAACCTTTCTTGTTACTGCTCAGTAATTCTGGCATAACTCTGCCCCTCAGTCTGTTTCCCCTCTTCTTGCTTGCCTGGAGTGTGAGCCCTAAGATTTTGCTATTTTGACTTTCCTTTCTGGGCCCCTGGGTCCTCTGCCTCCCTCTCTCCTCCCCTTAGGGACTAAGCTTTCCTCACTGTCGCCAAGGCAACAGCAGGGATGCCGCATTCCTCACAGCTCTGCCTCTCTAAACTCTGGTCGGCTTTGTCCAGAGAGCTGGCTGGATTCTTTATACGTACGCTCTTAACTCAGCTACCTTCTACCCCGGACTGCACACATTATTCTACCCTTTTAAAAAGCTGATGCATAACAATTTCTTTCCCGAGGATGGCCTCTCTCCAGACCTTTCAATCCTCTTGCTCCTACCAGACATTTTTGGTCCCCAGAACCAAATGTTCAAATCGCCTGTTTAGCCTTTGTTAAGTGCGTGCAACTTAAGTGCAGGTCAATTTTAAAGCAAGCAACAGAGCATTCATAATGCGTTTCCTTTTTAAAAGCACCGTGGACCAAAAATAAACCCAACAAAGGGCAGCTGTGGAGTTGTAACGTGTGGAAAACTCCACAGGCAGCAGTTACATAACTGGAAAGAAACACGATGAACATCTCACACCGTTAGATGCGATTCCAACTCTTGACCCATGAAAAAGCGAAGGCGAAGAACACAAAACACACCTTGGCCCTCTAAGAAGCAAAAAGCTTATACTGAGACGAGGCCAAGGGTGTAGCTAAAGTCAAGACCTGACTTCCAGCACGAAACAGGATCCCTTCGCTTTGCGTTTTGTTTGTTTTCAAATTTCCCCTCTCGCATCCGAGGCGAAGCTCACGAACTGCACTGCCTCGGAGCGCTTCCTCGGGGCTCTGCACATTTGGGCAGAAAATTACCAAAGCTCCAGCGCCAAGGTGAAAATCGGAGAGGAGGGAGAAAAAGTTTTGTGCCTAAGGACAGAAAGGAGTTGGAGCGAGGCCACCCCCCTCCCCCCCGGGCCGCCCGGCCCCGAGCCCGGGGACAGCTGGCAGCCCGCGCGGGACGGACAAAGCCGATCAGCGCGGCGCGCGGGCGGGGGCGACCCGCAGGGCTGTCCCTTCCGCGCTGGCCTCCGCCGCCCCCTCCTTAGGACCCGGCGGACACCTCGTCCTCTTCCACGTCCTCCCCTCGAACCCACCCACCCTTTAAAGGGGGGGCAGCCCACAGCCCCATCCCTCGGCTGGCAGACCTGCCTCCGGGCAAGCCCCGGGAAGGCGTCCCTGGAAGAGAAACTGACCCGCACCAAGACCCGCCCTCCTCGTGGTCCCGCGCCGCCCGAATTCAGCGACCCCGCGCTCCCTTCCCCGGGACCCCAAGACCTCGGCCCGGAAGATGGCGAGGAGGAGCCGCCACCGCCTCCTCCTGCTGCTCCTGCGCTACCTGGTGGTCGCCCTGGGCTGTAAGTCTGGCTACCTCTACCCTGCCCCCGGGCCGCCCCTCCTGCCGGGACCCCTCGCTCAGACCTCCAGCCCGGGCGCTGCTCGCGCGGGCCGCGGAGTTTGCGCCCCACGAGCGGCGCGGGCTCCCGGGTGTGGCAGGCGCGGGGCCCGGAGGGCTCGGGGTCCCCACTCCGTCAGTGCTGGTCCGGGAACACCGAGGGCGCCCACTAGCAGGTTCTTGTCTTCTGGCAAAGTTGGCTAAGTTTTCAGACCCAGGCCCGTGATCAGAATGCACAGGGCCACCCTGAAGATGCTGAGGGGAGGCGGGGGCGTCACGGGGCGCAGGCGACGGCCCCTCTCGGTGGGAGGGGACCGCGGGGCCCTGGCAGGGTGGGGTCGGCTTCTCGAGTGCCAGCTGTGCTGCTGAAATGCGAGCGCTTGAGGCCGGGTGGCGGAGTTCGCGGCGGCCGAGCCGAAATGCCTTTTATCCGCTCCTCGGCCGGCCCTCGCGTTCCCCGCTGGACTCAGCCCCTCGGCCAGCGGCCGGGTCCCGGGAGGTGCAGGCGCGGACAGGGAGCAGCGCAGCGGAGGCTGTCGCGGAGCCAATTTCCCGGGGTGATTTTAAGCGGATTTTCACGGATTTCGAACTCAGGAGATTTAAAATCCTAGGAACGTTTCCTTTTGTTTTGTTTTGTTGCAATTAACATTTTGGGAAAATGGAACAAATTACAATAGATCTTTAAGCATTGTGATCTTTTTCTTTTGCTTTCCCCCCTTTTTCTTGTTTCTCTTTTGTTCTCCTTTTTTTTTCCTTTTTTTTCTTTCTTTCTTTCCTTTTTTTTTCTTTTTTCTTTTTTCTTTTTCTTTTTTTTTTTTTGGTAGTAAAGTGAACTTTCGCTGCTCTTCAAGTTCTGGAAATACGTTACTTAGTGTCTCAAACTCTGAGGCACTTTCTCTCACGCTGGTCTCATTTCCCGCCACGCAGTCGTTGCTCAGGCCAAGGTGATGTGACAGAGCCCCTTAGAGAGGCTCCAATTGTTTCAGAGAAGGAACCTGTCAAACTAAGAAGGCAGAGTTTCACAATAAAACCTGTATGCAGTTTTGAAATACCGATGGGTATCATAGTGAACACACAGAAAGTTAAGTGCTAACGCTGAAAGGTGATAACGGGCAGGCCAGAGGGATTGTAACAGATTCCTGGGAAAGTTATGCATTCGCTGAAATATTAAATTTTAGCAGAGATTCTGACTTTACTGTAGAATTGTCACTAAGTAAAAGCAGAGAAAATTGTTTGGCTGCTAATCCTGTTCAGTCGCCAAAATAGAAGCAATGCAGTAAGCTTGAAACTGTAGTAAGAAACGAGCAAGAGGCAACAATTGCTTAGTCAAATGGGCAGAATGATCTCTTCTTCAAGTTTCGGGTAAATACATTGCATGGCCTCTGCTAACCCTAGTTCCTATAGGGGATTAACTTGGGAGGATTGTGGAGTCCTTTTCTGTATTGTTCCTGGGATGTCAAAAAGTCTGGCATTGCAAGAATGTTTTCTTTTCAATGAACTTTTAAAAATTTGAGAACAGTATAAAGAAAACTCAGTGTTAGTATGGAATTCCCATGTACTCCACATGCAGTTTCCCCTATTATTAATATCTTATGTTAGTACGGTGCCCTTTGTTTGGATTTTCCTCACTCTTAATGTCCTTTTCTATTCCAGAATCCCACTCAAGATACCACATTGCAGTTAGTGGTCATGTCTCCTTGTGGTTCCTCTTGACGATGGCCGTTTTTTCAGACTCCCCTTGTTGTCTATTACCTGGACAGGTCTGAGGGGTACTGGTCAAGTATTTTGTAAATTACTCCTCAAATAGTACTTCTCTGATATTTTCCTCATGCCTAGAATGTACTTGTGGGCCTTTTGGAGGAAGGTCAGAGGAAGGTCACAGAGGTAAAGTGACCTTTTCATCCTGTCATATCCAGGGAATGTACTGTAGATGTGACATCACTGTTCATGTTCACCTTGATCACCTGAGTAAAGTGTATGCCTGTTTTCTCCATAGGTTATTTACTCTTTTCTCATTTCCAGACTGTTTTTTTTTTTTTTTACAAGGAAGTCACTTTGCAACTCACACTTTCCTTCCTTGGAGTGAAATAGGTTAACAAATTATTCAGAATTATTATACATGGAAGATATATCTGCCATTTATTTATTTACATAGCTATTTAGCCACTTATTTTTATATCAGCATAGGCTCATATTTATTTTATACTTTGGTTGATAATATAATACTATTTATTTATCAGAGACTTAGATTTTTCCTATAATTACGCACTCATTTTCGTCATACTCTGAAATATAACTTTATTGCTTCTTTTTCCCAATCTTATCATGTATAATTTCATGCTTATACCATTCTTTCTAGTATTTGTCAATTTTTAATATCATTCTTAGTAGCGTGAAGGATTTTTCTGTTAAAGTAGAAGATCAGTGTCTCTGTTGATATATGGACATTTACTTTTGTGTTTAGTTTGTGTATTGGTCAGCTTTCATTTATTGTAACAAAATACCTGAGACAATCAACTTAAAAGAGGAAAGGTTTATAAGCTCATGATTTCAGAGGTTGCAGTCCATGGTTAGTTGGCCCCTTTGCTTTTGGGCCTATGGGAATGCAGCACATAATAGGGGGGAGCACATGGTGGAGCAAAGCTCCTCACCTTATGGCCAAGATACAAAACAGAGACAGAGAGGGGAAGAATCCCACTGTCTCCTCTTAGAGAACTCTCCCAGTGACCAGAACACATCCCACTTCATAAAGGTTCTGTTATTCCCAACAATAGCATAGGCTAGGGACCAAACCTGACACATGGGCCTTTATCCAAACCACACTGGCTGAGTTACTGTATAATTTTTCTCACTTCATTATATAATGATGTATGTGTATTACTAGTGATTGAATCCAAAGCCTTCACACTGAACTATATCCTTAGTCATTTAAAAAAATTTTTTTAGGCTGAATCTTGCTAATTTGTGCAAGCTGGGCTCAAATTTGTTTTCCTCCTCCCTCACCCTGCCAGAGTACTGGGATTATAGGCATGCACCACCACGCCAGTTTGGAAGGAATCTGGTCTCATCTCATCTCATCTTGTCTCATCCAGTCCCTTCCCGCCCCCTCCCCCTCTCTCGCATATTAGGAGAGTTGTATTGGAATTAAGAAGAATAATAGCTCCTGTTTCCAGGAGGGGTCCTAAGTGGGTGCCTGAATGCCACTCTATCCAGACTCCTCCCAGAACTAATTATAGATAAGCAGAGCTCAGGAATTGCTCAGTTATTTAATGGTCCCCTATCATGGGTGTCTCTGTGGATTTAAAATGACCTATTGGAACTCAGACTCTCTAACCCAGTTCTTCAACATGTAGAGTTTAAAGGAAACAGGTATTTTAGAGGAAAAAACCTGATTATTTTGCATTTTAGTTTCTTAAATTAAGGAGGTTAGTAGATAGTGGCTGCAACTCCCTTTAGTAGGGAGGGAGCTGCGTTCTCTGTTACCTGAGAAAGTTCTTCTTGCTCCAAGGTCCTAGTTCATTGTTTATTCTTATTTTAATTCTTATCATTGTGACTGATCACCCAACTCTGTCTCAAGCCAGGAGTTTCTCTATATTTGCTCACCAGTGTGGTGACCAAAGTATCCGGTTAACAATAGATGCAAACACACACGTGATGATTAGATAGTGTGTTTTCCTCAGGTTGCTGTAACAAATGTAAACTAGGTAAGTTACAAACAACAGAAGTGTGTTCCTCATAGTTCTGGAGCCTGGGAAGTCCACAGTCAAGGCATGGGAAGTTTAAGTGTCTGGTGATGGCCCACTTTCTAGTTTATAAATGGCTTCTTCTCACAGTAGCCTCATGAGTTGGGAAGGGTTAAGCAGTTTTCTGGGGCCTCTTTTGTATAAGGGCACTAATCTATTTATGAGGCATTCCTCTCATGATCTAATCACCTCTCAACAACCCTCTCATGATGAAATCACCTCTCTGTTTTGGACCATAATAGGTGTTATGGAGGTAGGCAACATGTACACATGGAATTAATGACAATATAAATTATGAAGCACCAACTGCATGTTCATACGTTAAGTTTAAGATTTTCAGAGTTGGCATTTAAGCTATTTCAAAATAAAAAAAACAGAAATGAGTATTCACTGTTGGTTAGTGGGGACTTCCTTCTTTTGGGGATCCCTCAGAGCCAAGAAATTTAGTATGAGTGAGAGCAGTACTTGCTGCGATGTGGCTGGTAGCAGCAACTGGTCTTCAGATCTGAAACGGAACACAAGTCAGCTACTTGACCTGGGCCTGTAATCTCTCATAAACCAATAAGGATTTTGGTAAGAGAGAAACATCTGGATCATTCATAAAATCGCAAGGTTCTACCTCCAAGGCAGAGCTGACTGAAAACAGCACTCCAAGGGCCCAATTCCAGGAAAAATCTGCCTCCGTAAACATTAAGAACAAAGGATAATAATGAAGTTACTGAAGAGAATCGTTCCATCCTGTCGTAGTCCCAGTCATCGAAGGAACAGAGAGGCCAAAGGGGCTTGTGGTAGACCTGATAATTATTGCAAGACTATGACAGAAATGATGTTTAAAAAAAAAAAAAAAAAGGAAAAACACAAAACTTTCAGCCTAAAGAGAACAATGAGTTCTTTTTGACTGAGAACGCTCCTTTATTCTTCAATCTGAGCCCAACAGAGTTGGGAAATGCTTGCTACCCATGGTTTCCATTGCATTGGTTTCCTCCTGTGGCCCTTTTTGGTGGAGAAAGTGTGTTGGACTGTAGCAACAGCTGCTGTCTGCTGAAGTCAAAGACCAGACTCCTGTGCAAGTCATTCATTATTTGAAGTAACATCTTTTTCATCCCACAGTGACATCCCATAGTGGCGGCACTGCTGAGCCCTTACTTCAGGATACCCTATTGCCATACTTTTGTTTAGAGGAAGAGAGGATGAGAATGGAAAAGGGAAATTAAAACTT